ACCCTTATAGAAATATCATACTAAGAATCATTGATAATTACTTATTTTCAGTATTAAAAATACTGGATAATAAGTAATTATCAATGATTCTTAATATGATATTTCTAAAAGTGTATGACATTCGTCAAAAAATGTCGAATAAAAAGCTTAAAGATTCCTTTTTAAAATGCATCCATTATATTTTCAATTAAGATCAGTTTTCGTTGCAAAACATAATCTGAAAGATGGAATACAAAATTGGTTGCCATTTTCCGTTCAATTCGATATATTTTTATGGAAAACAATTGTAAAATTATCTCATTAATATAATTAAAAACTAGAAATTTTAAGCTATAAATGCTTTTTGAACGATCTCGATAGCGTTATTTTTGCCGAAGTTACAGCCCATTGAATTTGACCCATTTTCCATGACTTATAGCATATTCGACTAGCTCTGGGTTATTCAGCCTATGTTTATTGGTCGAACAAATACTTATAAGCTTTATGATTGGCTAGTAAAGACTTATGACGTCATTAATCGCTCTCGGAGCAATTAACCTAAAGTCAGTCGAACACGCTATTTGTTTGCACGGCAGCTTAAAATCGGTTTAGTAACTACCGTAGTTAGTGAACTCTTAAATCCGATTGAAGTATATTTCTAGATCTAAAAGAATATATCAATTGGATACGAGAGTTTACTAAATATGGTTGTTACTAAACCGGTTTTAAACTGTCGTATAAACTTAGTCCATGATAAAATAAAAGGATGTCTAACCCGTCGTTAAGTAGTACTACTCAGAAAAAACTGAAAATGAATTGTACACAGTTGCGTTGATGTTATACCATTCACCAGAATAACGATCATGAATCTTTTCCCCTAGTGTAAACTCGTGAAAAGTGAAAATTTTGTAATGAACTCGTGAAAGATAAAAATCTTCACTAAACTTGTGAAAAATGGAAGATTTAACGTGAAATTGTAAGTAAAACAAATATTACAATATACTCAAGACAACACCAACTTGCAATGGATATTTTTAGAATTTTTTCAGCATGTTTTTAAGACATCCCTTATAGAAATATCATACTAAGAATCATTGATAATTACTTATTATCCAGTATTTTTAATACTGAAAATAAGTAATTATCAATAATTCTTAGTATGATATTTCTATAAGGGTTACTGCATACAATTTATAATATATTACACTTTAACTTTCTGATGCATACGTATCTTAACTTTGTAAATTTCGTCGGTATGCTTTCACTGCCTATACGTCATCAATTCGCTTCAATTCGCTTTCGTTGTTCATTTTTAATGGACGTAGGATTCTTATGTCAAATACCAATTGTCGTATAACCATAAAAATTAAAGTCACTATAAGAAATTCTATTCACTTTGTACATAATATGCAAGTGTAGTATTACATTATTTTTCACATTTAAACCACATCGCTTGATGCTTAAAAATTTTCATGGAAACTTACACAATATATATGTAAAGAAGAACATATACGAGCAAACTGAAAGTTCACGTGAAATATTTCACGTTTTGAGAATTCACTTTTCACGGTTAATGTTCGTCTCGTTTATTAAATTTACTCATATTATATTATTATATTATATTATAACTATAAATTTAAGTTGTATAATGCTTATTAATGTGTTATATATTACATTGTGTACACTGTAATTACATTTTAATTTTAATAATCTATATTACATAAATATTGCTTTCCATATTTTCATTGTTCACTTTTCATGTGAAACTTACAGTGAAAAGTGAAAAATGAAAATGAAGTTCACGTGAAAGATTCATGATCGTTACCCAGATCGATAGTCACTAGAAAGTTTCGACCAATCGTATCCATTTCTAGCTGATCGTTTTTCATGACTGTTGATTCATGCGGCAAGCGGGAATGTGTCAAAATAGAAGTGACATTTTGACAGCTTGACGTTTCGTACATACGTGTTTTTTTCAAAAGGTTATCCGCTCACGTGTAACGCGCAATCAGTAGAAGAAGAGTAAGAATGTTAAAAAAGGTAAGTAAGAAGTTAATATACAAAATTAAAATAAATTTATACACACACAGACAAAGAGTCTCTGCTTTTAAAATTTTCACGCAATTTTCTCTCAAACTATTCGTTATTAATAAACATTCTACTTTATTCAAAAAAATGTTTCAGGTGAAATCTGATTCGAGGAAGTTTAAAAGGAATATCTTACGATAAGCACGGTTTTATTCATAATGGAGGCGCTTCCGAGATTTCAAGGTGACTTTTTGAAATAGAATATTAATATTATAATCTACAAAATATTCATTAAGACCTATTTATGATAGGTAGGTCTTTAAAAATCATTCACGGTTACTTATGATTACGTTACTTATGATTATTTACAGACTATTTTCAATGAATGGCCAAACGACTTTTCTTATCTTCTGTATAGTCTGCTGCTAAGCAGACTATGGATTAAGGATCGGGGCCCTGATTCTCGAAAATGGCCCGTATTCTGAGTTCTTTTTTAACAATAAATGAGCCTCTAAAAGTGGCTTATAAGCTTTCTGATTAGCTATGAGTCACTTTTAGAAGCTCATTTTTCGTTAAAAAAGAACTCTGAATATGAGCCAATATATCGCATACGATATTTCATGAAAAACTATAGTTTATGTTACATATACTATAGCTTTTCATTAAATATCGTATGCGATATATTTTTGAGAATCAAGGCCCGGGGTGCTGATTCTCGAAAATATATCGCATACAATATTTAGTGAAAAATAGTATACGTAACATGAACTATAGCTTTTCATAGAAATATCATATGCGATATTTTTCGAAAATAAGGCCCCGGATTAGATTAAAATTGAAGCAATTAGCATAAAAAAACTAACCTCAAGTTTAATAAATTTTGCTTTGATTAGTCAAATTTTAATCCAATCCAATCCCTAATCTATAGTCTGATGGAGGATTCAGGTCTGGAACACAATAGGTTTGTTCGCGTCGCATGCCCCAACGTGCTCCTACTCGCTCCAACGCACTCTGATTTGTCCGCGTGGTGACGTAAACCAATCAGAGTACGTTGGAGCGAGTAGGAGCACGTTGAGGCATGCGACGCGAACAAACCTAATACGTCGTATGTCGGAGTTGGATGTTGAAACGCAGCCGATGGTCCAATGAGAGAATTAATTTTTTGAGAATGAGTTCTCCTCATTGGACCATCGGCTGCGTTCCAACGTCCAACTTCGACATACAGCGTATTGTGTTCCAGGGCCCATATTCTTGAAATTTTTGCGTATACGTAATTTTCATGGGTGCACTTGGACACGGTGCATTTGGACACAGCCAATCACAGCACCGTGTGATTAGAGACATTTGTAGGGTCCCTTGGAACAGCCACTTGTGATTGGACTGTGTCCAATTGCCCCATGTCCAACTGATATACACCCAATTTTCATTACGCAGCTATTTTATGGTATGATTAAACCTGCGCATTAAAATTTATATATATGCAACTATTTCAAGAATAAGGACTTAGGGGCTCGATTTTTGACGGCATGCGAATGAGATATGCATGCGAAAATGTATAGTTCACGTTACGTATACTGTAGATTTTCGCATGCGTATCTCATTCGCACACTGTCAAGAATCGAGCCCCAGACCTCATAGGCTGCGTTCGAAAACGTCACTCGAGTACTCTCCCTCTCTTTTTATCTCACTCTTGTATTTTGCTCACTCCAACGGCTATTGTCTAGTAGTGTGCACACAGTGTGTGTTTCCGAATGCAGCCATACTGGGTCCGATATCCGACGTACGGCGTTCAGTATTCAATAGAACAGTTTTTTAATAGATAATTCAATTCTCCATTGGAAAGTTATTCTTTTATTAGATATTAGATATCGTACGTCAGACATTGGACGTAGTGTAAATCCTCTATGATATGGACTTCAGGATTGTGACACAAAAAACTTAAGCAGTAAGACGTGAGCAGTAAGCGAATCAACCAACCACAATCGACGATTCTCCTTACGGTCCAAGAATCAACGATTGTGATTGGTCAATTTACTTGCTACTCACGTTTACTGTTTACATTTTTTTTTATGTCATGGTCCTATTTTACCAAAAACGTGCTCTAAAGCTGGTGGCACATAGAAAAACTTAAGCAATAAGCAAATTGACCAATCACAGTCATTGATTCTTCTTACGATCCAAGAATCAACGACTGTGATTAGTCAATTTGCTTACTGTTGTAACGTTATTTTGCGTTCGGTGCGGGATAAGCTGCGAGTCGGTGTGGTCCGGATTCGAGCAGATGTTAATAATTGTGAAGACAGTGGGATGGATATTAAGATGATGTATATTTTCGATTAGATGGCTATTTACAATGAGTATTTATAGTTTGACTCGACGCCGTTGGCCTAACGCGCGAGTTTTTGTGTTCGCGCGTGTTGATGTTCGTTGCGGCGGATCTCGTGCCGCGTGGCCGCTGGCGGCCGCGGGACGCGGGCAGTATTGTGACGCGTCGATTGTATTGTGCTTGCGGCGCGATGTTGACGCTCGGATCTTTAATTTTGGTCGCGCGAGGAGAGCCGTTACTCGAGGAATAATACGGTCCCGTGTGCGTGACGCGACATGCCGGGATGGGTCGGAGTTTTGCGGAGCGGTCGTGCGCTACGATGCTGTGCCGCGGGGATCGGTTCCCCGGGACGGCGGCGCGGCTTCGCGGATGTCGATGCTCGGCAGGTGGCAGAGCATTTACAATAACGGAGGTTTCGCGGGTCCGACAGCCGATGCCGCTGTTTATTTGCCGAAGTTAACGCGGTTGTCGACTTTGCGAATTCGGTAAGTCTCCGCGGATGTCGACTCTACGAATCCAACGAGTCAACGGAGCGGTAGCCTTTACGGATCTGATAAGTCGACGGAGCGGTAATCAAGGAGGTCGACTTTACGAATCCAATAAGTCGACGGAGCGGTAACGAGGAGGTAGACTTTACGAATTCGATAAGTCTCCGCGGGTGTCGACTCTACGAATCCAACGAGTCGACAGAGCGGTAGTCTTTACGAATTCAATAAGTCTACGCGGAGGTCGACTTTACGAATCCAATAAGTCGACGAAGCAGTAATCAAGGATGTAGACTTTAGGAATCCAATAAGTCTACGCGGAGGTCGACTTTACGAATCCAATAAGTCGACGAAGCAGTAATCAAGGATGTAGACTTTAGGAATCCAATAAGTCTACGCGGAGGTCGACTTTACGAATCCAATAAGTCGACGAAGCAGTAATCAAGGATGTAGACTTTAGGAATCCAATAAGTCTACGCGGAGGTCGACTTTACGAATCCAATAAGTCGACGAAGCAGTAATCAAGGATGTAGACTTTAGGAATCCAATAAGTCTACGCGGAGGTCGACTTTACGAATCCAATAAGTCGACGAAGCAGTAATCAAGGATGTAGACTTTAGGAATCCAATAAGTCTACGCGGAGGTCGACTTTACGAATCCAATAAGTCGACGAAGCAGTAATCAAGGATGTAGACTTTAGGAATCCAATAAGTCTACGCGGAGGTCGACTTTACGAATCCAATAAGTCGACGAAGCAGTAATCAAGGATGTAGACTTTAGGAATCCAATAAGTCTACGCGGAGGTCGACTTTACGAATCCAATAAGTCGACGGAGCGGTAATAAGGATGTAGACTTTACGAATCCGACAAGTCTCCGCGGGTGTCGACTCTACGAATCCAACGAGTCGACGGAGCGGTAGCCTTTACGAATTCAATAAGTCTACGCGCATGTCGACTTTACGAATCCAATAAGTCGACGGAGCGGTAATCAAGGATGTAGACTTTACGAATCCAACAAGTCTACGC